TTGACGCAGAGAGGCCTTTACACAGAGAAGCTTGTACACACAGAAGCTTTTACACACCGACACCTTCGCACACACACACAGATGCCGGTACACAGAGCAGCTTTGACACACAGACGCTTTTACACAGAGAAGCCGTTACACAGAGCAACTTTTACACAGCGCGGCTTTTACACAGAGACGCCTTTACACAAAGAAGCCTTTCTACACAAACGCTTGTACGCATAGAGGCCTTTACACACAGAAGCTTTTATGCACAGAGGTTTTCACACGGAAGCTTTGCACAGAGAAGCTTTTACACAGAGAAGCGTCTAAACAGAGCATCTTTAATACACAGAAGCATTTACACACACAAGCTTTACACACACGCCTTTGCACACAGAGCTTGTACTCACAGACGCTTTTACGCATAGAAGCTTGTTCACAGAGCAGGGTTTACACAGAGCACAGAGAGAGGCCTTTGCACAGAGCAGCTTTTGCAATCTTATACGCGCAGAAACTTTAAACACGCCCTTGTAAAATCGCAATTTTACACCAGTTTTATTTCGCGCGAAACGGTCGTGCCTGACGTTTCAAAATGGATAAAGTCGCAATTTTACACCAATTCTTGAACGTTGGCATCTGACGTTAAAAAAATCGCAGTTTTCCCACAGTTATTGCCGTTTGACTTTCATGCCACGCTTGCATCTGAACTTTCAAAATCACAATTTTACACCAGTTTTTGACGGTTGACCCTCATTTCGTGCGAAGGGGCTGTGCCGGGCCTCACCAAATTTGCATTTTGCCACATGTTTGGATGTCCGACCTGCGCAATCTCTGAAGAGGGTTGCCCGTGCCCAAAAGAAATTCACATTCCACCACATGTTTGGGCGTTCGAAACGCACGATCTCCGCAGACGGCTGCTGCGGGCAAAGAAGTTTCGCATTTCACCACACCACATGTTTGCCCATCCGACACGCGCCATCTCCGCAGAGGGTTGCCACAAACAAGACCCGCATTTCGCCACACGTTCGGGTGTCCGACACGCCGCAGAGGGTAACGATTCGTAAGCCACCGCCTGGCAGAGAGAAATAGAAGAACTGGAGAAGTCTGATTTTGCAGGAGTTCAGATACAATTTGATCACCTGGAAGTTAGCTGAACCCCTGTGTAGCAACTCCTGTGTAACAATTTCTGTGCAAAATGACCTTGCCGGCAGGAGTCTTGTAGGAGTTCAAGTAGCCTGCAAGTCAACTCCTGTGTAAATGACATTGTTCAAGTTTTGTAGGAGTTCCCTAGAAGTTGATCACCCGTAGCTGATGTAGGTGATGTTGTCTATGTTGTAGATGATGAAGATGATGTTGTATATAAGTGATGTAAGGTTAGATAGATTTGAAGATGTAGGTGATGTATAGGACGCAGTGATATAGATGATGATGTAGGTTATGTATGCGTTGTAGGTGATGTATATCATGTAGATTAGGTTGATGGAAACATATTGTGTAGGTGATGTAGATGGTGTAGGTGAGATAGATGATGGTGATGATGATGATGGTGGTGGTGATGGTGATGATAATCATGATGATGTAGGGAAGATGGTGCAGAAGATATAGTTGATGTGGGTGATGTAGAGGATGTAGTGATGTAGATGATGATGTAGGTAATGTATGTATTGTACATAAAGCATGTCATATAGATGAGGTTGATGGAAAATGTGTAGGTGGTGTAGATAATGTAGGTGAGACAGATGTAGGTGATGGTGATGATGATGATGATGATGATGGTGATAATGATGATGATGGTGTAGATGTAGATGTAGATGTAGATCTAGAGAAGATGGTGTAGAAGACGGTATAGAAGATGTAGGTGATGTAAAGGACATAAGAGATGTGGATGATGTATGTTAGGTAGATGAAGTGAAGAGTGAGGCGGACAGCAGTTCTTTGGGAAAAAACCTTCGCACGAGCTTCGGGAATTTTGGCCACAGTATTGCGAGCCCTTTTGGAAAAGCGGTTTTTCATAAAGTGTTTGTGCTGTGATTGCGCCTTGTACGCCCGACCTCTAGAGTAAGAAGGGCGGGGCAATAAACATACTTCACTCATTGCGTGTTTGGCAACTGTTTTTGTTTCTGGCTGTTGGGGATACTCTTTGGGCTTATTTTCATTTATTTGTATATTGATTGGCTGTCGCAAGTGTAATATCATTAGTCGTTTTTAGGTTTTCTTGTTGTTCCCGAATGGGTAGCTAAGGGTTCTCGCTTTACTTTGGAGGTCTGGGGGAGATGTACTCACTCGAGGCGTTCGCAATCGTTCGCAACCGTCCGCAACCGTCCGCTGGTCTGCTGAGATCGCTATGGCCATGCCATTGAAACGTTGTGTAATGCCGTTTCGTGTGGTAGGCGTGGCGCTTCGTGACATTGTCACGTTTCTGATAAGGTGTCGAAAATCGTTTTGTGTGACAGGCGCCATAGTTCTGCGATATTTTCAGAAGACGTTTTGTGCTTTTCGTGGCAGGGGCAGCACTTTGAAGACTTTCATGGTCATTTTGAGTGGCAGGCGCAGCACTTTAGTCGTATCGTGCTGCCTTTTTGTTTTGGTGAATCGCATTGTCAGTGCTGCGTCAAGTTGCTGCGTCTGTGACATGTGCTGAAAATTGACGGAAGCCTTGCACGAAACATCCATTTTGGGGTAGCAAACTTGCGGTTCATGAGAAAACTCGTAGGAAACCGTCGATTTGCAGCCATGACATGCGAAAATTTGAGGAAGTCTTGTACGAAATGGTCGTTTTCAGCCTAAGACATGTCTCGTCTCGATTATTTTGTTTTGTTGTGGTGTTGCCGTGCCACTGGGCAAAACTGCAAAACCTAGCATGTTTTCAAAAGAGGTTATAATGTCGTTTTGCCCCGCCGGCGTGGCACTTCGTGACATTCCGCGGTGTTTCCTAACGCGTCGAAAGTGGTTTTGTGTGACAGGCGCAATAGTCTTGCAATGTTTTCAGAAGATGACTTGCATTTTCCGTGGTGGCATGTGTGTGTGTGTGCGCGCGTGTGTGAAGTGTGGAGTGTGAGGCACGGATTTTGGAGGGCAGAGTGTAAAGTGTGAAGTGTATAGTGTGGAGCGGTGGTTTGGGAGTGTAAAGGGTGAAGCGTGGAGTGTGACATGTAGTGAGTGTGTGAAGTGGGAAGCATGGAGGTTGAAGTGAGGAGTGTGGAGTGTGGAATGTAAAGTGTACTGTGCGGAGTGTAAACTGTAAAGCGTGGAGTGTAAAGTGTAACGTGTAGTGTGGATTGAGGACGTGGAGTGCCAACTGTGCAGTGTATAGTGTGTTGATTGTGGAGTCGGAGGGCTAAATGTCCAGTGTAAAGTGCGGAGCGTGAAGCGTGTGGAGTGCGAAGTGTGAGGGCAGAACGTGGAGCGGAATGTGACATACTCAATGTAAGACTCGGAAGTGTGGAATGTTGTGGGGAGATGTGGGGAGGGTCAAGTCCACAGTCCACAGTGGCAAGTTGCAACATTATCAGAGACTGCGCCTGCCACGCACTAGAAAGACGAAAGTAACATCTCACCTCGCGCAGCCATGCCAATGCAGAAAGCGGCAGCTGCAAACACGAAAGTGCCCCAAATATTGCGCCTGTCACGAAAAATGACGTTCCACACACGACGGATCTTCACCAAATGCTGCGTCTGCCACGCAAAAGAACAGTCTCACGTCCCAGGCCTGCCAAGCAGTTTGCACGTCGTCACCACTTGACACAGCCCCGACAATGCGATCCGCAAAAATCAGGCAACACGACACGTCTAAAGTGCTGCGCCTGACACACAGAATGAACATGGCCATGTCCAAAGCGCTGCGCCTGCCCTCCACACTCCACACTTCACACTCCCCACACTCCACACTCCAAACTCTACACTTTACACTCCACACTTCATACTCCACAATCCCCACTTCACACTCTACGCCGGACTCCATTCTACACATTACATTCCCCACTCAACACTCCATTGTTTATACTCCACACTTCACACTCCACACCCTGCACCCCACCCCATTCCACACTCCACAGTCTACACTGGTACAATAACAGGGGAAGAATGTACAATACTGTTGAAGTTGAAATAACTTATTTCGCACAAATGTTTTACGTGACTGCATTCGGGTTCGTTGGTTGGTCTTGTTTTTTACGTGCAAGTGTTTCGTTCTTGTGTTTTGAAAACGACGTGGCCAACAAGAAAAGGCTGTTGGGTGGAACATGGGCACCTCCCCAAATAGCAAAATGCCCGTGACGGAGGGACACTGTGAATTGTGAAACTTCCGAAATGTTTTGGGCCCCCAGATGTCATAACGCCAATAATCTTTCCAAAAGGTTTAAAGGTCGCATATCATATGCATATCCACGAAACCGTGAATTGCACAGCGCCAAAATATTACCATTGCCGCATTGTGTTGCTGTGCCAGGCCAACGGAGCGGCCGCTCGAGGGATCAAAAAGGATGCGTCTTTGGTGTGGTTTCCGTGCCTTAGATGATGGGCCTCACCAACTACTCTGACTTACCCAGTTGTGGCTAGTCAGAACACCATTTGCGGATCACCTGGTAGTGTCTAATCTTTGTCCTGCTTTCCCCCAAAAAATCTGTGCGAGGAGGAATTTGCAAGATGACCAAATATTTGAGATTCCGCCGCAATCATCCGCAGTCACTTCTTTCCAGTTTTCTCGTCACGTGTGCCAATCAGTGTTTGTCTCATTTTCTTTATGTCGGTCTCATGGGTTTTCTTTGTTTCTCTCAGTGTGGCTCCTATGTCAGCGAAATTCCAAAGTTCACATCGCAATACATTTGTTTTCCTCCGACAGATTTGAATTCGCAAAACTAAAACGCCAGAAATCAGGAAGATATGGAAGGACAAAGTGAGAAACGAAACTGTACAGATCAGAGCATAGCAGCTATAGCACTGATATACAGAGTTGGCACAACTGGAAACACAGTTTAAACACAAGGCAGCAAATTTCATCCACTTTATCCACTTTCTATGGCAGATTTCCATTTGAAAATCGATGCGCCGTGGCTTGAACGAGCATTTTTGAATGTTGGAAAGCAACTCTTCGGTGACGGGGTAAATCAATGTTGGTCTCATGTTGATCTCCGAATTTTGTTATGATCAAATATGTCCAGTTTGTGCCACTTAAACTGATTGAAACCAACTGAGCCGAAGAATTTCCAGGTGCAACCGCAATTCTTGCTGGTGATCCTGTCAGTGTCGCTGCTGGGGGAATCTTTGGCTGCGATGAAGTTTTCAATCGCATCCGTATGGTTTGTGAAGTTCAGCATATATCAGAATATCCATGGTTTTTCAAGGACATGGTCTGCAAATGCAGAATTTTGATGAATTCTTGTATGTCTATGTTGGTTTACTGGAAGGTATCTGCAAGATTTTGCACGTTTTGTTGGGTGGGGGCGTTTTTTGCAACGTTTCACCCTCCAGTGGAATTCTGAAATTCCCTCCGGGCATTCGTGAATGTGCTGCTACATAATCATTTAACAATGTCAACCCAACATTAACACACCCCCAGTTGATAAACATGGTGGAATGGGGGGGTACCATCATGACTATCATCGTTGGATCATGTTGGACTCAAAAGTTGGAATTCTCGCGGGCCTGGGAGCCTAGGTTTGGTGGTGCTGCAAGAGGAATGAGACTCTACCTCCAGTGGTCGAGGCCCGGCCCATTGAAGGGTGAAATATTCATCGCTTTCCGCAGCACCTGATGAGCTGGTTGGCTCTCTGGATTCAAGCTTTAGGCTGTGATTCAAAGGACCGCGTATGCTCTTCCACTATATTCCACTGGAATGCTATAGTCATAGTCCATTCCTGTCTTGTGCCGCCCAATTTTTAGTGCAAAATCCCTTGAGTTGATTGGTCGTTCATTGCCAGCAGCTCCTAACGTTGAACTGAAAAGAATGGTGTAATGCTAATGTGGCAAGCAAATGTAATGCCTCCCTGTGCCACACCAAAGCAACATTGAGTATCAACATGTATGAAAATCAATAAGCAAAAACCAACAAGACGCACAAAACCAATATAGAATGGGCTAGCGCCCTGGTGCCGCCGACCCTCCTTCTTAGGACATGGGTCATTAAATGTCCCCATTGAACATCACCCAACCATTAGGTATATGGTCTATAATGGCTACTATAAGGTGATGTCCAATATCTCCAAAATGGGACAGTTACCAACCCCTGTAGGAGGGTTCCGGCAGAGAGAGAGAGACCGGCACACTCACCCCACCCAACCGTGTTGGTCTGCTCGGGCTCAACTATGTAAGCATAGTACGGCCCAGGAGGGGCATCATTTCGATTTAGAAACCCCTCACCACCACGCTTGAACGCCCTTCAAAAAGAGATGGCCGTGGCGTGTAGCTGCGAGAGTTGCTTTGGAAAGGCATGCGGGAGGGTTTGGAGGGTTTGGGGCCCGGCAAACGGCAGGCTTGAACGCCCTCAAAAACAGATGGCCGTGGCGTGTAGCTGCCTGCGGGAGCGTTTGAAGGGTTGTGGGCCCGGCAAAGGGCAGGCTTGAACGCCCTTAAAAACAAATGGCCGTGCAAACGGCACGCTTGAACGCCCTCACAAACAGATGGCCGTGGCGTGTAGCTGCGAGAGTTGCCTTCGAAAGGCCTGCGGGAGCGTTTGAAGGGTTTGGGGCCCGGCAAACGGCAGGCTTGAATGCCCTTAAAAACAGATGGCCGTGGCCTGTAGCTGAGAGAGTTGCCTTGGAAAGGCGTGTGGAAGGGTTGGAAGGGTTTGAAGCTTGGTCGAAAGGCTTGCGGGAGCGTTTGAAGGGTTTGGGGCCCGGCAAACGGCAGGCTTGAATGCCCTTAAAAACAGATGAACGTGCAAACGGCAGGCTTGAACGCCCTTCAAAAACAGATGGCCGTGGCGTGTAGCTGCGAGAGTTGCCTTGGAAAGGCCTGCGGAAGGGTTTGAAGGGTTTGGCGCGCATAAACGGCAGGCTTGAACGCCCTCAAAAACAGATGGCCGTGGCGTGTAGCTGCGAGAGTTGCCTTCGAAAGGCGTGCGGAGGGTTTGAAGGGTTTGGGGCCCGGCAAACGGCAGGCTTAAACGCCCTTAAAAACAGATGGCCGTGGCATGTAAAGAGTTGCCTTCGAAAGGCTTGCGGGAGCGTTGGAAGGGTTTGTGGCCCGGCAAATGGCAGGCTTGAACGCCCTCAAAAACAGATGGCCGTGGCGTGTAGCTGCGAGAGTTGCCTTCGAAAGGCCTGCGGGAGCGTTTGAAGGGTTTGGGGCCCGGCAAACGGCACACTTGAACGCCCTTAAAAACAGATGGCCGTGGCGTGTAGCTGCGAGAGTTGCCTTCGAAAGGCTTGCGGGAGCATTTGAAGGGTTTGGGGCCCGGCAAATGGCAGGCTTGAACGCCCTTATAAACAGATGGCCGTGCAAACGCGCGCTTGAACGCCCTTCAAAAACAGATGGCCGTGGCGTGTAGCTGCGAGAGTTGCCTTCGAAAGGCATGCGGGAGCGTTTGAAGGGTTTGGGGCCCGGCAAACGGCAGGCTTGAACGCCCTTAAAAACAGATGGCCGTGGCGTGTAGCTGCGAGAGTTGCCTTCGAAAGGCCTGCGGGAGCGTTCGAAGGGTTTGGGGCCCGGCAAACGGCAGGCTTGAACGCCCTTAAAAACAGATGGCCGTGCCAACGGCACGCTTGAACGCCCTCACAAACAGATGGCCGTGGCGTGTAGCTGCGAGAGTTGCCTTCGAAAGGCCTGCGGGAGCGTTTGAAGGGTTTGGGGCCCGGCAAACGGCAGGCTTAAACGCCCTTCAAAAACAGATGGCCGTGGCGTGTAGCTGCGAGAGTTGCCTTCGAAAGGCCTGCGGGAGCGTTTGAAGGGTTTGTGGCCCGGCAAACGGCAGGCTTGAACGCCCTCAAAAACAGATGGCCGTGGCGTATAGCTGCGAGAGTTGCCTTCGAAAGGCCTCCGGGAGCATTTGAAGGGTTTTGGGCCCGGCAAACGGCAGGCTTGAACGCCCTCAAAAACAGATGGCCGTGGCGTGTAGCTGCGAGAGTTGCCTTCGAAAGGCCTGCGGGAGCGTTCGAAGGGTTTGTGGCCCGGCAAATGGCAGGCTTGAACGCCCTCAAAAACAGATGACCGTGGCGTGTAGCTGCGAGAGTTGCCTTCGAAAGGCCTGCGGGAGCGTTTGAAGGGTTTGGGGCCCGGCAAACGGCAGGCTTGAACGCCCTTAAAAACAGATGGCCGTGGCGTGTAGCTGCGAGAGTTGCCTTCGAAAGGCGCGTTTGAAGGGTTTGGGGCCCGGCAAACGGCAGGCTTGAATGCCCTCAAAAACAGATGGCCGTGGCGTGTAGCTGCGAGAGTTGCCTTCGAAAGGCCTGCGGGAGCGTTCGAAGGGTTTGGGGCCCGGCAAACGGCAGGCTTGAACGCCCTTAAAAACAGATGGCCGTGCCAACGGCACGCTTGAACGCCCTCAAAAACAGATGGCCGTGGCGTGTAGCCGTAGCTGCGGGAGTTGCGTTCGAAAGGCCTGCGGGAGCGTTTGAAGGGTTTGGGGCCCGGCAAACGGCAGGCTTGAACGCTCTCAAAAACAGATGGCCGTGGCGTGTAGCTGCGAGAGTTGCCTTCGAAAGGCCTGCGGGAGCGTTTGAAGGGTTTGGGCCCGGCAAACGGCAGGCTTGAACGCCCTCAAAAACAGATGGCCGTGGCGTATAGCTGCGAGAGTTGCCTTCGAAAGGCCTCCGGGAGCATTTGAAGGGTTTGGGCCCGGCAAACGGCAGGCTTGAACGCCCTCAAAAACAGATGGCCGTGGCGTGTAGCTGCGAGAGTTGCCTTCGAAAGGCCTGCGGGAGCGTTCGAAGGGTTTGTGGCCCGGCAAATGGCAGGCTTGAACGCCCTCAAAAACAGATGACCGTGGCGTGTAGCTGCGAGAGTTGCCTTCGAAAGGCCTGCGGGAGCGTTTGAAGGGTTTGGGGCCCGGCAAACGGCAGGCTTGAACGCCCTCAAAAACAGATGGCCGTGGCGTGTAGCTGCGAGAGTTGCCTTCGAAAGGCCTGCGGGAGCGTTTGAAGGGTTTGGGGCCCGGGGGAAGGTGTCAGGCCTTTGAAAAGTTTAAACGCCCTGAAAAGCTTGAGTGGCTTGTGAGAGCTCCCGCGGAAGAGCTGCCGCGGAGCGGTTGACGCCTTTGAGGTTTGTTAAACATGCAATTGTTAGTGGAACGACCTTGGACAAGGGGAGGGCCATGGCCGTGAAAAAGCAAGTTCCACACCTCCGGCGGTCCCAGGCGCCGCCCCTGCCTTGGCCAAGGCAGGGGTCGGCGGATATATACATATATATATATATAAATTATATATATATATACACCACCACCATAAATCATACTTCCATCACTATACCTCACTCTCACGGCGCCATGTCGGTCTCCCGCGTCCAGGTGCAGGGCTTTCAGATCCCAGTAGATCAGCTGATCCACACCAAGGACCCCGACGAATCCGCGATTGAAATGGACTTTGGGTTTTTCTGCACCCCTTTTTTTAGCCTAGTAGGGGTTGCATCTGGCAGATTCCTGTACATTTTGATGCGGAACCAAGCTTTGCAGATGGTTCTCTGAAATCATATGGCCTTGTGAATGTTTGGCCATGGGGGATGATACATGATGATACCATCGTCGTTATTTCAATGAGATGTGGAGGTGCCATATTTCAGACAAAGCCGGATTCGGCCGGATTCAGCTGTTTTCAATAGCAAGATGGAGGAATCAACAGAATTGTGGATGCAATCAAAGACAAGATGGGGGATTACACCCCCTATGTAATATATGTATATATATATATGATTGAGTATGTATGTGTGTATGTAAAGTAATATATATATATATACACTCATAACTTGGATATAATATGGCCATCTATCCCTTGTAAGTGGACCACATCCATTGAACACAAAATGGCACAATCGATTGAGGATCCCTTTATAGATTTTCCCCAGAAGGACATCGTGGTCACCCATCCGAAGATGGACCTGTTGGACCTGTTGGAGTGACATCGGTTTTTAGGACCCGCGAACAGCATATCTGTTGCTCTTTGCTGCCGGCCTGGTTGGTTGTCATCACTTCTATTTGGATCGTTTGCTGCACGGATGCCTTGCAGCTACCCGACTGACGGTTGGCATTTCAATCCACTGACTTGAAATCAATCCTTTGCGTCGGATGAACATGAATTGTCCTTCCAAGGAGGAACAGACTTTGAACAGATCCAATCTTTTGAAATTTTGTTATTGTGCTAAAGTATGGTAACCCCACCAACAAACAATGCACCATTTACCCCATTTACATTTTTTTTTGCCATGGCGGGGAGGTACTTGAGACCTTTCCCCCATTAGTTTCAATGGACCGGTGGGAAAATCAATTCGAAAGTTTCGGAACCACCTTTTTGCGTGGTGGCAAAAAACCCATGGCTTTCGGCAGATTTTCCCTTGAACCAAGCATTGATAAGTGTGACACTGCAAAGAAAATGATGCCCAGGCTATCACCGGGAAGCTTGGCTGACACCTGTGGGATGGTTATGACTGGTGACTACTGAAGGTGGGTGCCAAACCAAGGTATCCATCTATCAATCTCTCAACCAATCAACCTATCTATCGATCCATCCATCGATCAAGCAATCAATCAATCATGCAATCTATCTTTCGATCGATCGATGGATCTATCGATCGATGGATCGAGCGATCTACCCATCTATCGATCGATAAATCAATCTATCATCGATCTATCGATCGATCAATCAACCAATCAACCAATCAACCAATCAACCAATCAACCAATCAACCAACCAACCAACCAACCAACCAATCAATCAATCAATCAATCTATAAATCGATCCATCGATCAATCAATCAATCAATCAACCAATCTATCAATCAATCAAATCAATCAATCTATAAATCGATCCATCGATCAATCAATCAATCAACCAATCTATCAATCAAGCTATCAATCAACCAATCTATCTATCAATCTATCAATCAATCTATCTATCAACCAATCAATCAATCTATCAATCGATCTACATCTATCAATCTGTCAGTCTATCTATCGATCCATCGATCAATCAACCAGTCTATCTAATATCGATCGATCTATCGATCTATCTATCGATCTATCGATCGATCGATCAATCAATCTATCTATCGATCTATCAATCTATCGATCGATCAATCAATCAATCTATCAATCAACCGATCCATCCATTGATCAATCGATCGATGAATCAATCAATCAATCAGTCAATCAATCAATCAATCAATCAAATCAATCAATCAATCATGCAATCTATTTTTCGGAGGATCGATCGATCTATGATCGATGGATCGATCGATCTATCGATCTATCGATCGATCAATCAATCTATCTATCGATCGATCTATCGATGTATCGATCTATCAATCTATCGATCGATCAATGAATCAATCAATCTACCTATTGATCGATCGATGCATCGATCTATCCATCTATCATCTATCGATATGTCGATCTATCGATCGCTCGAGCGATCTATCGATCTATCGGTCTATCAATCTATCGATCGGTCGATCTATCGATCTATCAATCTATCGGTCTATCGATCTATCGATCGACCTACCATCTATCCGTCTATCTATCTATCTATCTATCTAATCTAAATCTAATCTAATCTAATGTAATCTAATCTAATCTACTCTAATCTAATCTATCTATCTATCTATCGATCTATTTATCTTCTCTATCTTCTCTATCTTCTCTTTCTTATCTATCTTGTCTGTCTTATCTATCTTATCGATCGTACCTATCTTATCGATCTTATCTATCTGAACTATCCTCTCTACCTTCTCTATTTTATCTATTTTATCTATCTTATCTATCTGAACTATCCGATCTATCTTATCTATCTTATCTATCGTATCTATCATATCTTTTTTTCCATCTAATCTGTCTGATCTATCTTATCTATCTTATCTATCCTACCTATCCTATCTATCCTATCTTATCTACCTAATCTATCTAATCTATCTGATCTATCTAATCTATCTAATCTATCGATTCGATCTAATCTATCTAATCTATCTAATGTTTCTAATCTATCTAATCTATCTAATCTATCGATTCTATCTAATCTATCTAATCTATCTAATCTATCTAATCTGTCTAATCTATCTAATCTATCTAATCTATCTAATCTATCTAACCTATCTAACCTATCTAACCTATCTAATCGATCTAATCGATCTAATCGATCTAATCGATCTAATCGATCTAATCGATCTAATCGACCTAATCGATCTAATCTAACTCATCCATTCCATCTATTCCATCTATTCCATCTATCCACCTATCCATCTACCCATCTACCAATCTATCCATCTATCCATCTATCCATCTATCCAGCTATCCATCTATCCATCTATCCATCTATCCATCTACCTACCTACCTGCCTGCCTACCTACCTACCTACCTACCTACCTATATATCTGGCTACTTTCCTGGTATGAAGCCGCTGAAAACAAGGTCTGGATAGGCAGAAAAGGGGCCGTTAACCATCAACAAGTATGGGTTTTAACCAGCAAAACATGGGAAAACACCCGCTGGCAAACGAACACGTCATTCTCCCTAAACACCTCCAGATGTTTTTTCCATATCGTTTTGTTATCACAGGGCATTAGTTTGCTGCTGCACGCCACGAGCAGTGAACCATGCAAGGAACTTCCTGGGTGTTGGCTGGCTGTTGGACCTCTTCTGCATTCCGTAGGAGATCCCAGTGGCGATTTCAGTAGTCAAAATAGGGATGGACCCACGTTCTATGGCAAGTTTAGAATGGACGTGATGATAAACTACGGCAAAAATGGGGGCAAACCCAAACTTGAGGCAACAGTATGGATTTTGTTTGGAGCTGGGTCTGAGGTGGTAGTTCTACTGATTGGAAGCGGGTTGGAGCTTTGAAAACGTCTCCGCAAGTCATTCAGTTAGGATCCCCAAGAGTTTTTACGGAATCCTAGAATATGCAAAAACAATTGACCAAACATATCTCCATTTTCGTATCATCGGAATGGTGAGGCCACCAGGCCTTCCCCGGGATGATCCTCTGAGGTACTACACCAGCAGTTTCAACCGGACAGCGGCTCCAGGGGCCCCCAGAGACCGAAGTTGCGGCAGGCCATGGTCGAAATGGTCGAAATGGTCGAAATGGTCGAAATTGTCGAAATGGTCGAAATGGTCGAAATGGTCGAAAATCCATAAGCGTGTTCCAAGGATCACGATTTTCCTGAATTACATTGGCTTCCGGGTTTTCTCTGATGTTTGAATCTGTTTCTTGGATTTGGATTGGAGAAAGTGAGTTTGAACTCCCTTCACGGATGTTGGACTTGCATCACAAGCGTCACAAGGGGAGTGGCTCGCACCGGAAAATTCGGATTAGAGTCAGCGAAACTTTGAAAAACCCAGAATGGCTTGAGACTTTTCCAGCATTTTTCCAGTTGATTCGTTTCAGAGTGGCCAGGCTCCTCTGCTATTTGCCCTTGGTGGCCTGTGTTGCCACCTGCACCCTTTTCACCGTTGTGCTGGGCGCGTGGCCTCCAAGTGGTTGTACGGTACCTAAAAATAGTGGCAGGAAAGGCAGATCCAAAGGTTCGCCCAAGGGGATCAAGAGGTAAAACGTTTTTTTTGGTTTGGGGTTTATGATGGTGTATGCTTTTGGGTTTACCTATTACCGCATTCCTAGAGGTTTTGAGCCCAAATGGCTTGTAAGAAACTGATGGCTTTGGATGTCAACTTGAAGACCCCGACACATTCTGGACTCTGGACCCAAGGCATTCCTGGTTACCTGGTTTGCCTTTCAATCGTGGTGAGATCTAAGACTGGCTTCAGGACTTCAATTTTGAAGGGCCCTTGGGAGGTGTGGAAAACAAAGCCAATAGCCACTTCCCCAAGAAAAATGCAGAGATCTGCGAAGAAGTTTAGGAATGCCCGAGCAACCTACACTTGTTTTCTAAACTACTTGTTGCAAGGAATCCAGAAAAGGGGAGCGTGCCTATTAGCCAGTATAGGATGCATAGTCCGTGGCTAACATGATACTTGTGGGAAAGCTTGTTGTGAAAACAAGAAAAACATATCAATATGATCTTAAAAGTTATGACCTAATTCTCGGCATTACAACCCTTGTACATAATTTATCCGTCAACTACGGGTCAATTTCTTTCACATCCCTTGTATCATGGTGCTACAGTATGCTAAGATAGCTACTCCAGTATGACCCCCGAAAGATCCATTGGAGCCTAGTTTCGATCCCATCTGATCCAACTCCTTCAAGCACTGTTCGTTTCGTTCGTTTCTGCCGAGTTGCCATCTGTGGTGCATAGCACTGGATTGATGGACCTGGAACAACGCATGGCAGGACTGGGGTCAGGACTCCCACCATGTTTGAAATGGAGAGCATATGGGACGTTACGGGGATGTGTCAAAAGCTATGATTATGACTGGGGGAATAACCATCCATCAACCTATCAAAAGGTAGGACATGGTTTTGGCCCATAGCCATATCATTTTTCATTTTTGCGTGCAATGATTCGTGTGCCGCAGATGGAAGGGGCGAGTTCGGTTGATGAGACACCGGTTTCAACTCCTTCCACTCCAGTTGTGCCAAATGGGTTTGTTGAAGCTTCGGTTGGATTGGCGGAATGGGGTACTTCACTCCTATGGTTCAAAACTGATTCAAAACCCGAACTTCCCCATTTTTATGGCTACATATGGCTACGGGATGGTGCCCCCCAATTATAAGCTGGCTTATAAACCCCATTAACTATAGTTATATCTACCATAAACCATAGAATTCAGCCACTTATATCTCAACTGAATGCTATCTTGGGGGCCGCATCCTCTACTGTAGCACTGTAGGTCATAGATTTGCGGGAAATCCCCCAATGGCCCTGCCTCAGGCACTGGTGGCAACCCCTACGATGCTTGGCTGACAGAGGTTTTGACG